TCTTCCGAAAAGATAGAGATGATGCCATGCTACCATCGGGTGGTGTAGCGGTTATAGTAAGTCAAGGTATAGCATGCACACAATTACCCCTTCAAACTTCCCTCGAGGCGGTGGCTGTCCGAGCAGTTATTCTAAACAAACTTGTCACTGTCTGCTCTTTGTACATACCTCCGCACCACCGTCTCGAAAAACTTCAATTCCAGTCTTTAATAGACGAACTACCTGAACCTTATCTGGTCCTTGGGGACCTGAACGCACATAATGGTCCGTGGGGTGAGTCTCGCTGTGATGCCCGAGGTCGTCTCATTGAACAATTCCTCATTTCATTGGGTGCTTGTCTGTTGAATAGGAAAGAGGCAACATACTATAACCTTGCCAACAAAACTTACTCTTCCATAGACCTCAGTATCGCATCTCCTTCACTTGTACCATTACTTCAGTGGAAAGTCATAAATAATCCATACGGAAGTGACCATTTCCCTTTAGTTTTGAGTAGACCGATAATAAATGAATGTCCTCCACATGTTCCCAAATGGCTGGTAAACAAAGCCAACTGGGAACAACTTCAAAAGCTTACTCACCTAAATTGGACTGATATATGCGGGTTAGGCATAGATGAAGCTGTGCAGTACTTCACGGCTTTTCTTACTGACGCAGCAACCAAGTGCATTCCACAAACATCTGGACTGCCCGGCAAAAGACACGTTCCGTGGTGGAACACTGAGTGTCAGAATGCGCGAAAGAAACAGAACAGGGCATGGAGGTTGCTGCGGAACTCGCCGACAGCGGAAAACCTTGAGAGCTTTAAGAAAATAAAATTTCGAGGCAGGAGAACGCGTCGGCAGGCCAGAAAAGAAAGCTGGCACAAGTTTTTATCAGGGATAAATTCATATACACAAGAGGCTAAAGTCTGGAACATGGTTCGTAGGGTAGCAGGAAGATAAGTACACTCAGTCCCACTCGTAAACACACAGGGTGATAGCTAGGAAGATCAAGCGAACTTCCTCGGTGCACACTACGAGCAGGTGTCTAGCTCGTCACACTACACTGAAGCTTTCCAAACACACAAAGCAAAGATAGAAAAGCATAAACTAGAATCCAAGTGCACAAATTACGAGGAATACAACCAACCTTTCAACTTGGCTGAGCTACAAACATCACTAAACTCTTGCAATTATTCCGCTCCAGGCTACGACCGTGTCACATATGAAATGTTGAAAAACCTGCCGCTTGAAACGCGAAAAACTTTACTCTCTCTATACAATGCTATCTGGCTTTCAGGCACCATCCCTGCTTCCTGGAAAGAGGCTATTGTTATCCCTATTTCGAAACAGGGCAAGGACCCTTCCTCAGTTTCAAGTTATAGGCCCATTGCACTGACCAGCTGCCTTTGTAAACTTTTTGAAAAAATGATAAACCACCGACTTTTACATTTCCTTGAAACACACAATCTGCTCGACCAATTTCAGTGTGGGTTTCGGGAGGGTAGATCCACCACCGACCATCTGGTGCGTATCGAGGCACAGATCCGAGACGCTTTCGTCCACAAACAATACTTCCTCTCAGTGTTTCTCGATATCGAGAATGCCTACGACAGAACATGGCGTTTTGGCGTATTAAGAGACTTGTCTCACCTGGGTGTGCGCGGTAGAATGCTTTCTATAATCGAGAGTTATTTGTCCAATCGAAAATTCTGTGTCCGTGTGGGCAGTATTCTCTCGCAAACATTTGTGCAAGAAACGGGAGTACCGCAAGGTGGTGTATTTAGTTGTACACTTTTTATTATTAAAATGAATTCCTTGCACCTGTCCATTCCCCGCAACATGTTCTATTCCACATATGTCGATGACGTCCAGCTTGGCTTTAAGTCATGCAACCTAGCAATGTGTTAGCGGCAGCTTCAGTTAGGTTTAAACAAGGTCTCCAAATGGGCAGAAGAAAACGGATTCCGGCTGAACCCAGGAAAAAGCACGTGTGTCTTGTTCTCCCGAAAGAGAGGCATGCACTCAGAACCCGACATTGAACTGAGCGGCCAACGTCTGTCTGTGAATGCGGAGCATAAATTCCTAGGCTTAATCTTGGACAACAAGTTGACCTTCATACCACACATAAAGTATTTAAAAACAAAATGTTTAAAAGCCATGAATGTTATAAAAGTGTTGTCACGTACTACGTGGGGTAGTGACAGGAAATGCCTCATGAACCTGTAGAGAAGCCTCATTCGCACCCGCTTAGATTATGGGGCCATTGTTTATCAGTCTGCGACTCAAAGCGCTTTCAAGATGCTGGATCCCGTGCACCATTTAAGCATCCGCCTTTCCACGGGTGCTTTTCGCACCAGCCCCGTAGAAAGCCTTTACGTTGAGTCAAATGAGTGGTCGCTTCATCTGCAAAGAACTCACATGTCCTTTGTATATTTTCTTAAGGTGAAAGCAGACAAGAGGCACCCCTCATACTCTACTATTAATGATTTGTCGAGCTCCATTCTGTTTCTAAACAGGCCTTCAATGAGGCAGCCCTTCTCAGTTCGCCTGAAGGGTCTAGCTGAGGACACTGGAGTGTCACTCGAACACCGTTTAATGGCTCCTGTAGCATACCTTCCACCGTGGCAGTGGCAGACTATAGATTGCGATGTGTCTTTCCTAGAAATTACTAAACATGCACCTATTGCCCATATTGGAACATACTTCTTGGAACTTCAACACAAATACACACGTCCTGAGTTCTTTACAGATGCCTCTAAGTCTAACTCTTCTGTGTCCTACGCTGCTGTTGGCCCTTCCTTTTCGGATGCTGGCCCTCTAAATCCAGGCTCAGGTATATTCACAGCGGAAGCTTACGCGATACTTGTGGCAGCTAAACACATCAGAAAATTACAAATACAAAAAGCAGTAATTTTTACAGACTCCCTCAGTGTGGTAACGGCTGTGCACAGTCTTAAAAAACAAAAAAACCCTGTCCTCGTTTCACTTTACTCCATTTTATGCACACTCTACACACTCAACCAACATGTTGTAGTGTGCTGGGTGCCAGGGCACCGTGAGATTCAAGGCAACGTGAGGGCGGATCAGCTCGCTGCATCCGTCCACAAAAGCACTGCCCCTGCACTCATATCAATCCTGGCCCTTGATCTTGAGCCGTCTCTCAAACGAAACCTCAGGGTATACTGGCAGAGCAAGTGGGATACACACACACACAACAAACTACAGGGTATTAAGCCACACCTTGGTCATTGGCTGCCCGTATCGAAATCGCGTCATACAGAGGTAATACTAACGAGGCTTAGGATAGGACACACATAAACGACACACACATATCTTTTGTCTGGTGGTGATCCACCATTGTGTGACAGATGTGGTGAAGCATTGACAGTCCTTCACATTTTAATCCAGTGCAAACACTTAGAAACTCTAAGAAAACGACATTTTTAATTACCCTACCGACAACATATACCTATACACCCTGCAATGTTCGTCGGTAGGGAACCGCTTTTTAGTCATAAATTATTGTTAGCGTTTTTAAAAGAAATTCATAATTTCATATCATATACCCGGGCATTCCGTAGCACGACCTCTCTAGAGAGGTTTTGCTGCGGAGGTTACACAAGAAAGCACTTGCCTCACGGCCCTTGGACGCAAGGGTATGAACGAGTGAGGCACTTGTGCTAATGCCATACATATCCACCATCGTCTTTATTATCACCAACTTTTGTCATCTATTCACACCACACACATCTTTCACGGCATGGTCATCATTTTATTACTTGTATGTTCTTACCCGCCTTATCGCGAGGAATTTTGTGGCCCTTATACAGCCGCTTATCACAATCATTGTCCATATTTTTAGTGAGATGAACTGGCGCTCTTTGGCCAACAAATGGCTCTTGCGCCAAAAAACACCATATATCATCATAAGGTGTAAATATGAGGACTAAATGTTGGTCCCCTTGGCTCTTCTGTGGGGACTGTTAGACCCTGTGCCGTTAGTCCTTAAAGAGATTAAGGTTGTAGCAGCCCCACTAGTCCCCGAAAAGACAAACCACACCCTTTTAACAACCTTTTGTCTTAGAGTGCAGAGCATCGAACGTTACTCGGAGGTCATAGGGTCGATTCCTGCTCACGGCAAGTTATTTTTTCACCCAATTTTCTTTCTTCTTATTTACGTTACATTGGTTCTAATATATATATATATATATATATATATATATATTTAAAGAACTTGCAACAGTAACCTGCTATGGTCTTCCTTTTTATAACAACCCTGTCCTGTGACAATTGCGTTGAATCAATTTAATTTCTAGCAACTTTAGAAAAGTGTTGCTCAGACCACTTTTTGGTAACAAAAATAACCGCACGTTTATCTATTATGAAATCGCTGAAGAAAGAACGTACAAGCCAATTAGCAATGCAGCAAAGCAGGAGTTACTAATAATTGACGCAAAACCAGCAGTGGATGGTCGCTCAATACTTCCGCCATACGGCTCACTGGTTCGAGTTTTCGAGCGACTATGTGCGGCACGGTTAAAATTGTTGCTTTTTAACTATTTTTACTATTGTTTAGCACATCGATAATAACTATTATGAATGAAAGACGAAAAAAATTAATCATGCTAAAACGAGCATTCATTTCAATTTGTAGCCCGCTTTGAACCCGCGTTTTGTAGAACGAGTTTCAGAAACACTTTTGGTAGTAAATTTTGCGCACCATCGTCTTATGAAAAGAGTTATTATCATTCCATTTACTCGTAGTATAACTAGAAAAGCTTGTTGCTCATGTTCGTTTGTGAAGGACAACCCAGCCTATTTGAGAGCTGCAAATGCCTATTTTATTCAGAAGGTCTTTTTTACCACTTCATCGTACTGATAATATTTATTTGTTCATTGTCTTGGTATTGCTTTTGTGTTGCAAGTCCGATTTTCACTGAATATGAGGTAGACGCTGTGTTGTACCTTCATCAAGCATAATAAATTACATAGCTTAGGGCACAATGAAAGACTTACCCGAGGTGGGGTGCCACTTGTGGTGGGCTCAGGCTGAAAAGAGTATCACGCAATAATCAAGAAAAATGGGTGGTGAAGAAATACTCGCAACTTTGTACATCATTTATTACAATGTTTGCAAAGTAAGAGTCAACTATAACATTTATTATTAAACTTCAACTTCGTGAAAGCGGGATACAATTTAAGAATGACCGTAATAGAAGGGTTGCATAGAAGTTGTTCACTTTCAAATATTTAATAGAATACGCGGCTCTAAAGAGGCAACTGACTGTGCTGTAAGTTGTAGCGACAGCTTGTCTTCGTGTAACCGGAACAATTTCTGTATTTCGGCACTCTAGCAGCAATACGGAACAAGCGTCTTGTTATCCTGATTAATCAAGTTTAGCTAATTAGAAAGTCTGATAAAAGGTTAATACTTTATACTGCTCAATGCATTCTGGATGGCTTGTCAGGTAAAAGTTTGAGGTTTCCAATACAAATGTAATCTTAATAAAGAATTAATCTTTTCGTCACGGCAGCTGAGGCTGCTGATAATTTGTGCTAAAACATTTCGGGATCAGAAAAGTATCTTCTTGCTGAAAAGAAAGGTTCCGTCTAGAACCAGCCTCGCAAGCAGCTATTTACGCAGTTGTTTGTAAATAGTGCTTTTCCATAGGCTCAAGGCCTATGGAAAAGAAAAATGACTTCACAGACTAAGACTAAGAAAAATGACTTCACAACTGGAAAAGTGTTTTTTTGTGGTCAATTTTATAGTAACCTGTGCATATAATAAAGACTTTCCTTTCTTAACACAATAGAGTTTTCTGCCTGTTGCATGCAATCGTCGTTATATTTTGGTATATTCAGAACCGTGAATGCTGCGAGCGTACCGAATGTTTGTCTTAAACCAAACCACACACTGATCAAAATAAACTTGGTGGCGAGACAATAGATAAGCCTATCGACGAATGAGCAGAAGAGGGATAAAAAAGAAAGCAGCAGTGTATGGTCCCGTGACATGCTTTCACCATTTCACGCTTTCGTTCAGCTTTACCATTGAATCCGCCGCCATTGACTGCGGCCAATATTTTCCATTTTCATTTGTACATTGCACCTCTGGTGTAGTATCTATGGAAGAACTACCGTGGATAAAAGACGCCAGAAAGGAGGCAAACGCGTGCCTTCGCTTCGCTATCAGCTTCCTGCCTACTTTTCAGCTGCGTCCTCGAAAGTGTGTTGCGATGTCGCTTTCGAAACCCAACTCGTGCTACCATGTCGTGAAAGCAATGTGTTTGATTGACCAGGCGCTCTCTTTTGGGCGGCAATTAAAAGCAGAGAGAGTGTAACCTTAAGCGAAAAAATGAAAATGGGAAGTGGTGCGTGAAGCAACGGCTTTAATTCCGCACACCTCAGATATTGTTTGTACAAAAGAATCTACAAAGTGTAATTGTGAACAATAGAAATGTAATTGAGACAAATGACTCAAATTGCCATGTTATTATTGAGTATGATGATATATTCCCCCAAAACGCCAAATTACAATCTCTCAAATTTTTAAATAACATATTATTAAATTACATGGAGCATACAGAAACTAAAAATATAATAGCCACAGATGCTTCCGTAAATAATCAAAAGGCAGGTGTAGGCATTGCCTTTGATTCGCTTGACTGGTTCTTTTCAGTGAGACTGCCTGATTTTACTCCAGTTTTTGAAGCGGAGCTCGCGGCGATTATTTAGCTCTTCGAAAACTTCCATCAAATCAAAACAACGCAGTCATAATGACGGATTCTCTTTGAGTTTGTGCATCTCTGACAGCTTCAGAGAACTCTCGAATTCTAAGCACATTCAAAAAATTAGTACCTCCGCAGTTGAGACTCCTGATGTTACTATGGGTTCCGGGACACTGTGGATTAAGATTAAATGAATTGGCCGATTCCTTAGCACGAGCCGCACTAGATGGGCCTGTTTTGATCATACTGCCAGATGTTGAATATATCGCGGCAATAAGATATCGAAAATCAGCGATCTCCTCTGATACGATAGAAAAATAAATACATGGACAGAATATAACCACCCCATGTTTCCATGGCAACTCGACTGGAGCCCGTCCAGAAAGCTCGAAGTCTTACTTACTAAGATTCGATGTCGTGTCCCCCCCCCCCCCCTAAACCTGTATCTACACAGAGCTGGTCAGACAACATCACCCCTCTGCGCATTCTGCGGAGAAATGGAATCACTAGATGACTATTTTTTGTATTGTCGCCGCTACGATATACTTCGAAAAAGGTTACTAGTTATGCCAATTCTAAAAATAGTCGTTAGATTGACGGCGGAAACGGCGCTAAGCTTTGGTGCCTCAGTTTTGGGACATTGCCACAGGGATGCTTTCAATGCTTTTGCGATTATATTCAGGCAACCAAGCGTATACCTTTGTGATCTTGAATCACAAAATTATTATTTATTACTCGCCAGGGGAGAGTGAAATAAACGCAGCTGAGTGGTAATCATAACACCTCAAATCTCAAAATTGCTCAACTTGATTTTTTTTTCGTTTGCTCTTTTTACGTTGTTTTTTACATTTTTCTTATTATAGTACCCATTCATTACACATAGTTAAAATGATCACAGAAAAACTGCCCTACACTTTCTTGGCCAATCCTCCTGAGTGGGTATGAGCCATCACCCCAGGGAAAGAAAACAAAAACAAATAATTCCGCGCTGCTTTATAAGCTGACAAAAGGGAACAAAAAATTTTGTCTTCGAGTTTTTTCAGGTGGACGAAGGCCAGAAGTAAACATTTATTCACACAAAAAGCACTTGTGTTACGGGCCAGCTGGGTCCGCAAGTCTCATATAGTAGGGCAGGTGGTGGTCAGTCCAGGACGATGCACAAGAACTCCTTTTAGTGTATAGGGGTGAAGGTTCTTTAGGCCGCGGCTGGCTTAATGGCCTTGGTGTTGACAATGTTTGTCCTGGCCGAGCACATGCCAGGTACTCTCTATAAGCTATGACGATGGCTATGAAGCATACGACGATGATGATTCGGACAACGACCAGCTTGCGCAGTAAACGACCTCGCGATATGCTCTTCGACACTTTTCGTATGACTGTAAATAACCAGCAACATCCAGGGGATAGTGCACAGACCTCGGTTTTGCCAACTTCAGGAAATCTGATACCGCAAACCAGTAACGATAAAGGGTAACAAAATTTCCAATTACACACAACCTATCATTTATGAACAATCCACAAGTTCTACAACTATACACCTTTCTGCCACTCATTTATTTGCGTGAGTGCTTGATGTCACGGGTCCTTGACGGTAACACGGGACGATCACACTGCTTCACCGCTCATCATCATTCACCTCTTGGGTATGCTGTGTCTTATGAGCAGAATTCCTCAAGTTCAAGGCTTGTCCATTGGCATTGGCGTTTCGCGCTGTAGCCGCCGCTAGGGACGATGAAGAACAAGCGCATTCCAGACTACACATTCTGTCCATGTCATCAGGGCACAGCCCAAGCAAGGTACCCACTAAGCGTCATGAAGATGATGATCGTGCTCATGACGATGAAGGACAAGCGTGCTCCAGATTACACTTTTTATATGCCATGAAGACATAACACATTTATGGTACCGAGTATACCCCACGAAGATGGCGATAACGCTGATTACCTGATTACAATGACGATAACGATCACGCACAACGTCTGACTCGTGCATTATGTGACTTCTCAATATGCCCTACGTGGCATTTTGTATAGAAAAATGAACCCACAGCATCCAGAAGAACGTGCACAGACCTTGTCCTTGCCAACTTCAGGCTAGATACGCTACCACAAAGCCGTAACATTGATGGCGTGAGAAAATGTGCAACTCAACACAACATACCATTTATGACCAATAAACATTGCATACAAGTGTACATTCTTTGTCACTGACTTAAAGGCGCGAGTGGTCAATGTCACCACTGATTGACGGTAACACCGAACAATCCCATTGCTCAGACCCCTTATCACCCTTCACTTCGTAGATATGCCGTGATTTTTCATGTGCTTGCTTCTGTTGGCTGCAGCTTATTCATTGCCTTAGGCACTCCCACGATTTGATGACGATGACACTAATGAGTGCGATGAACAACTGAATATCAGAGCGCACATTATCTTTCACCTTCACGACACGGCGCATGCAAGGCACCCACTATACGTCATGACGATGAACGATTAGACGCCCATTGCGCGACTATGGTTTTGATCATTAAGCTGATAAGCGAGGTACCCGCTACAGATCTGTAAGGCTTCGTGTGCATTTTTCGCTGTGGCTGATGACGATAATGAATAACCTCGTTTGAGAAGCTTGCTCCTAATTTTAGGAGCTTGTAAATCCCCGTATCCGCTAGTTATCATTGCTTCCGCTAAAGACGCACCTGATACTATCATTTGGAGAGTGTGCTGCTAGTCATGAACACCGAGGAAACCAATACAGCGGTGCGGAGGGCTGGGAATGCAGCACAGTGCGGGCTCGCCGCCCAGCATTGCGGTTAAAGCTCGCGAGCACGAAGCAAAGCAGGATTCGTGGACAAGCGTACTCTACGGTGAGAGGCCACGAGACCCAAGAGACACATGATGTTGCGTGACGATCTCCATTGCATTTTGTTCAAGCTTCCCACCACCACTAGGAACACTTGTATTCACATCGCCTTCTCGAACTTTCTACTAGGTCGCATATTTCAAGAATGCCCTGATTTTGCACAAGCACCTTTTGAACGTGGTGTGTTTGGTGCTGCCAGCACACCGCGGTCACGTCAGAATTGAGGAATTGGACATTTCCTAAAGTAACCCGTTGTTTACAGCGTTTTCGTCGGTTTTCGAATTGTGTAGCAGTGTATATTTCCTGACTATTTACTGTAATAAATAAGTATTTTTTTACAGTAAGCCGTCGTTTACAATGTTTTCACCAGTTTTTGCACTGCGCAAAAGTGAAGATTTACGGAGAAAAAAAAGTGGCCATAACTACATGAGAATCAAATCCCTTCCGCAATACATCATGTGGCTAATGAGTTTATCTAGCAAAGAAATAAGTAAAAAATCTCTAGATGATCGCCTTTGGAATTGTCTCAAAAATATTGGTGAATAAAAGTCAATTGATTGATCACTTAAGCGTTGTTTGTGGTGTACTTGTAAGAAATGCTGATGTTCAACGACATTTCCATTCAACAAGTAGTTATGAAACTGCCAAGAAGATTAGTGAGGCTAAAGTTACTGTAGCGTCGGCTACACTTTTTATTCTGTTGGTATCTTGTGAAGGCCTTGCAGACGATTCAAAATCGCGTTTTAAGAGCACTTTGACTTGGTCGAAATTGTACATACTTGAATACGTTTAGCGCAATTCAGACAAAGACCGGAGAAACACAGAACACAAACCAGCGCTTCCATGTGTACAGTGTGTCTCCTGTTTTTCTTTAAATTGCGCTAAAATTATTGTAGTTGAACTCAGGATTTCGGCGCAATATTCCGAGCTTTCTTTCGTTTGTTTTATACCAGAAACTTGTAGTTGGCCACATGTATTAGGCTGAATTTTTTTGTCCCATCATGTGTTTCATAAGCGGATTGCGTGGTACACAGGGCAGAAGTTGGGCAGCACTTTCCTTCACCATCAGAAAACCTTGCATTAACATTGCAGTAAAAACACTTGCCGAACTTGCACCAGGAGGGACGCGTTGGGGACTTCCTTGAGGGCTAAGCTGGAAATATAATGGCAACAATCAAATGTAGAGAAAAGCACAGAATGACTGACATATATTGGCTGTAATGTAATATCTCGCGCAATGGGGCAAGCCATGTAATTTGAAGCAACCGGCAAAAGCTGCTTCCGTCAGCTGGTTCCTCTTTGACGCAAATTAAGTCATTGATGTTATCACATCAGGTCAATATACTGCAAAGTATGCACGCATGAAATACACTGCCAATTTCAATGAAAGGGAACATGAAAATGCGTGGTCTGCCTTCTCCGACGGCTGCTAGTAGCGGGCACGAAAGCAACCAGAGGCTTTTTTTCATGTTATCTGCTACTAATCAAAAGAACCAGTCAGTCATTGGTGATAGAGAACCAGGGTCAGAATTTCAAACATCTCTCTTGTTCAAGATGATTACACAAGAAGCCATTCCTGCATATTGTAGACCATTCCATAATCCAAATGACTGTTTATTTTGTTCGGCACAATAAAACATCAATAATTTTTTTCGTATCATATTTATTTCTATACGCATAATGAGGACAAGGACGAAAAAAGCCACATTCAAAACACGACAAGGGCTATTATGTCTTCACCACCCTTCTTCGGTTGGTGAAGAGAAGCAAGAAGTGGCCGACGTGAAGCGAAAAATTGAAAACGGTGCTTGGTCATGGCGCGTGAAGCAATAGCTCATTTTACCCATTGACTTATACACCTCATAAGAAAAAAACAAAGTGATTTCGCCTTAAATCATTTTGGATTTGAGGAATAAAGGAAGGAAGGGAAGAAAACATTTCTTCGCAGAAAGGGGTTTGTGTTTAGAGCCAGCTGGGTCCACAAGTTCTATCTAGCTGTACCGACAGTCCACATTCTAGGGCAATGTGTCAGAGTCCCTGTTAGTTTTTTCTTCAGCTTCGGCTCTCCAATTCCCATGTTCTCTCTACTTCTGTGCTTCCTCATTTCGACTTTGCCCCGAAGATCCTTCGCTTAACAACCATCTCTCTCTTTCCTAATTTTATGCTATTCTCCATAACCCGTCCATTCAACCACTTCACAAGTCAAACAAGGCGCACCAAACGATGAATAACGCAGCAAGCTGGCACCGTCACCGAGTTTACGGTAAATGACCTTCTCTAAAGTTTGCGACACCAAAAAAAAATAAAACCATGTATTCACACAAAATAACACACGCAGCAAGCTCTAGTAAGTTCAGAAAGGTTTCATAAGTTTTGCTCTTTTGAGAGAATTTCAAAAGTGCCAGGACACGCAGCCTGCACTCCGATAACATAATTTAGAGCGCCATAGGATTATTCTTTTGTTTTAATGTAAGACCTTGGGTGGAAATGTCCCTTTTTCTCTCATGATAGAAAACTGCGTGCTCTTTTTATGCATAACACTATCTTTTTGCTACACACTGCCTAGCCTTCGCTTCATCTCAGGCTGCTATTCTTCAATTTAGCAGCTAGCAGGCCTGAGCAGAGGTCTCACAATAGCAGTTCGAAATGCAGATGGTAAAATACAAACACTGGAAAACTAAACTACACATACAATTTGGTGTTTCTTATAAAGGGATATTTTTGAAATGCTTCTGGAAAATGCGAAAACGTAATTTGAATTTCCTACACAATAATACGAAAATATATTACTACTTTATTTTCGCAATTTGGATGCCATGAAAGGTGATCATTGTGGTGCAGCATATTATTTGATAATTGTTTAAAAACCCTGAAGTGTGCATGCCAAGCAATCAGCAGAATCACTAACGAGCACCGGGTTATGAAGAACAGGTATACTTTTTTTTAAACACAGAACCTGTGTGGCTGATTTGATTGATTGATATGGGGGGTTTAACGTCCCAAAACCATCATATGATTATGAGAGAGGGTGTAGTTGAGGGCTCCAGAAATTTTGACCACCTGGGGTTCCTTAACGTGCGCCCAAATCTGAGCACACGGGCCTACAGCGTTTCCGCCTTCATCGGAAACACAGCCGCCGCAGCCGGGATTCGATCCCGCGACCTGCGGGTCAGCAGCCGAGTACCTTAGCCACTAGGCCACCACGGCGGGGTAACCTGTGTGGCGGTGATGGTTGTTGCATTAGCAGCACTTAATCAACAGTAGATTCTCGAATAGGTTATCATTTAGTCAACGCTAGTTTAATCTCAAGAAAAGACTTGCGGAATAATTTTATGCTGCAAAAAGATCAAGGTGTGGTTAATGCGTACTGAGACTGTGACTTTCGTCGGCAGAGCCCCACTATACCCCGAGATGCTGCCGGTGCAGTGTTGGGAGCTTTAGTACGTAACTCATTGTGTGCATGTGGGAAATCCTTCGCCACTTTCAGCCATTTTGGCAAGAAGCACCACGCCTTTGCATGGTGTACGTCAGATCTCTTCCTTTCACTGCTAAGAAACAGACCTTGGTTCCCGCAATGATAGAAGCCAAGTTGCACAACGTACACATTTCTGCTAAGCTTTCTGGAAACTCGCCTAAACTTTTGAATGCATTTCCTAGTTATTTGATTAAATTAAAAGCCGCATCAGCCATACAGAGTTGTCACATTGGCTCTATCTTTTCACATTCTCAACAGTAATTCCAGCACCAATTGTTTCTACAAAGGTCTGGGCACGGTAATAGAGCGGAATATTTTCGTCAAAAGTGATCACACAAAAAGAAACACGTTCGTTGCTTTGCTCCAGCATCCTTGCTTCTGCACTGCCTGGAATCGGAAATAAAGAAATTATTATTGAGTACAGTAAACCGTGGTTTACAACCTTTTTACCAACGTTTGAACTGCCCAGATGTCAACGTTTATGAAGAAAATAGTTGCCGTAACGACATGTCCGTCAATTCACTTGTACAATACTTCCAGTGCCTATTGACTTTATCTACAAAGAGATCAATTCAGCATAGCTCTACATTATCGCCTTCGGAATGGTCAAAAAAATATTAAATAATTGAAGGCAGTTCGTTGATCAGTAAAGTCGTGCATGTGGTGCGATTGTAAAAAACGCTTGTATGCAGGCACATCTCCATTCAACAAGTAGTCATAAGCTGGCCAAGGAGATCAGTGTGGCGTAAAGTAACGTAAATAACTATAGCGTCGGCTTGACTACTGATTCTGCTGTAAACTTCACTAGGCTTTCCATACATCAAAAAGTCATTGTTTTTGTGCAGTAATCAGAGCCCTTTTGCTTTTGATTTCTGGTATGTGGGTGTAATTACCACTAGTGATAAGCTGTCAGCATTATTTTCATTTTTGTTTTTCCATCATGTGTTCCTTAACAGGCTTGCCTGGCATGCAAGGCAGAAGTTATGTGCCCTTTATTTCACCAAAAAAATTCTTATCATTAGCATAACAATAAAAGCACTTGCCGGACTTGAAGGAGGACTGGCGTGTTGGGGACTTCCTGGTTGCCTTAGCTGGAAAGAGGATAGTGCAAGTGAGCATAAGAAGTGGAGACAAGCACAAAGTCACTGACATAGGTTGACTAAAAAAAGTGGTTACAGATAAAACCCAGTGCATCCACCACACGAGAGGAAGCCCTGCGAAATCGCCAGCAAAGAGTAGCATACAGGCAAATGGTCAGGTTTGTCTTCGACGCAAATGAAGTTAATCATGTTATCATATCTGCTTCAGAATATATCGCATCTTTATAATGCACTCCTTAGGGTAGAATGTGGTGGATACACTCCTAATAGAACCTGCTATATGGTATACATAATGCATAACTTGTCAAGCCTTGTTATTCACACGCTGATATGATGCCATATACCAATTTCAGTATATGTCTACTCCACCAAACGGTCAGAAGTGTGGAAAGGCAGTCTCATGTGAATCGTCGTGTACGTGACATGCATTTCCTTGTGGCAGTTCTCCAATAATCACAAGCGCACCATCATCGTGAGATGTAATTCATGTCGTAAGTGACATGCATGTCTCGCTTTTCTTGTTACTACTTGTCTTAAAGGTTCTTCAGACAACCAAATCACGCAATTCAAATTTTGCTGTGTATCACTGTGGCATATAAATGAATGTACTCTAAATTATTATCTTTATTTTCAAGTCAGTACTTTTCATATATATCTGTCTTACGGTGACATTACGTAAAAACAGATACGGTCCATGAAAAGCTAGTGAAACAGCCGTGGGTGCACCACAAGTGTCGTGAAAGTAATGTATTACATGACATTCAAGTCGCCATTTTTGCATGCCACCACCAGGAATTTTTTTACTTATGCGTCGAGCAATAATAAGTTCGGTGTACAACACGCCAGTGAGATGGCCGCTGGTGCATCATAAGCGTGGCACGTGAACCGCACTATGACAGTGGTGAGCGCACAAAGACGGGAATATGAAGACGGCAAGCAGCACACTACTGTCAAGTAGTATTTATTCCGGCACAAACACGCTATATATATAGCCTCTTCAATCATGACATGGTGAGTGTAGATGCTTGAGAACTGACCTATCAGTTTCACTCTTAGTTCTTCACGCTATCCTTTTTTTTTAACATGAAGTTGTTTTATGCCAGGGTCCACAACGCTTCCACTGACGTGCTTACGTCACCGATATGACGTCATAAAATATACTAAGAGATGGCAAAAAAAAATAACAAGGAAAGCGTTTCGCATGGCGTGGAACCAGCAACCTGTTGATTGACAGCACTCGCCGCTAATTACCATGGCAAAGAGGGAGCATTGTCAAGGCTGCTAACGGCAAATAGCTTATGTACTCCGCACCTCCTAACGGCAATTCGATACCCAGCATTTCCGCCAGATGTGATGTAGGAGTGACGGTAACCCGAGGATAGAAGACCGGCAGCATCGTTAAAATAGTAAATCTGTTTATTTGGCAGACTTGCGCCCCCTTCGGAAAAAAAAAATCACAACATATCCACGGAGTGAATGACGATGAGTGGGGCGAAGCATCCCTCAGCACATCTGTGCTTCCGTTCATCAGTTCGTTCTTGCTTTCTTCTATCCGCGTGACCATCCGTGCGTCAATCAATGTGTCCGCCCATCTGTCCATGCGTCCGTACGTCCGCGCGTCCAACCATCCGTCCGTGCGTCCTTCTAGTGGACACTCCAAGTACCGCCATATCTCACCTCACAACCCCTGTGGCACACCCGCTCTATAGCGGGTATGTGCCCTTGGAGGATACATACATACATACATACATACATACATACATACATTATAACCTCCCTGTCTCTCCCTTTCAATTATTTCTCTCTCTCTCTACATACATACATACATACATACATACATACATGCATGCATACATACATACATACATACATACATACATACATACATACATACATACATACATACATACATACATACATACATACATACATACATACATACATACATACATACATACAGAGGAGCGACAGACCCACGCCATATAGAGCTTCACCCCTAGAACTACACCACGGCTACGGTGGTCGAATACAGCCAGCTCGACGGCCATCGTGAAACAGAATGCCCCCTAAAAGGCAAAGCGGCGTTGACCATTCGAAATATGCCACCCAAATGCGGTTAGAGCTTTAGCTAGAACGAACGTCTAAGAATCTGGGGGCGTCTCGTAGTTAAGGCATAGTCGATGTGGAGGCCACGATAATCGCCGATAAAACGCAATGCCTCTTGAGTCATGATCGAAAATGATAAGGCTGCGTTCCGGCGGTTATCAGCATGCGCACCAATAACCAGGGGACAAAAACTTCCTCTACCTCCCATGTATTCGCTTTCGGCAGCGGCAGCCACGCTTTCACTAGTGGTTGCCGGGAGCCCTACTAGAAATAAATCACGAACAGAAAATTTCCTTCGTGACGCGACTGGTGGCGTCCCGAAATAGAGAAAAAGGACAAAAAGTTGAAAGAAGATTTGCCGCGGAAGCAATTCTTCCCCATTTCGCATGCAACTGCAATGCGCTCGTGCCTTCTTTCAGGTCCACTGGGCGATTGGGCAGGACACCCATTCGCAAAACTTTTCATTTTTTTTTATTTTTTAAGAGGCAAAAGGGAAGCTGACCGATTTTACAGTAAGACGAAACTTGATCGGCACAAATAAAACGTACTTTTTGCGTGTTTTGTGCAAAAAAATACAAACAAGTAGTGTGAAAGTGTGAATATATAAAAGCACAACTGACATACGGACAGACAAGCAAACGTTCTACCCATAATATTCGAACCAATGTAAAATACGTCAAAAATCGCGAGTAGAACACGTCATATTTCACTCAATGACGTCTGTTATGACGGCGCGCATTGTTTTTTTAGAGAACTGGAGTACCAAACAAGACTGAAGTTCAGAGGCACGGAGAGGCTTGAAGCAATCAGGCACTTTTTGAGGAAGAACGTCCCTGAAAACAGTGTTTCGGCAAGTTGACTTGTCTTCGTCTGCGCAATAGCGTTCCATTGACAAATAAAAGTTCTCCTGTCAGAACGTTGGCTCCATCGACGTTGCGTGTTTTATTTTTCAAAGCCTTTAGTCCACCCCGTGTACTTGCTAAAACTAGTTTAAATAAGGGCTCACAAATTTTCAAAACCCTGCTACAAGAATTTTATGAGCAGGAAGGCCCCTATATTTACTTTATCTCGACTTTAATTACTATGATTACTTAGCTCGAAACAACAGCTTCAACTCCACTGCTGCGCCATTATGTCAAGCCGCAATGGGACCGACAAATTCACAGAAGGCTGCGAATAGGAATATCTCCACAGAGCAATGGCATAGTCTTCCAAGTCGTCCACTAACCATAGAACGCCAGGAGACCACGCCCTATCAGGGGTCTTCACCAACCGCTGACGACGCACATAAAAAATGGCAGTCATACCTAAGCTTCATTCTCTAATGGATGCCGTCCGAGAGATCTTGTTTTGAACATAGGGACGATGTCTGCTCGAAGTGCTCTGGAAGTACTGGACATCTTAAACGCAGTATTGAATCTCTCGAGTAGAAATATGGCTAACGATCGCCATCACTCCTGAGAAGTCAAGTAAGCATCTATCTTTCACATGAACGCAAGTGGACTAAAAGCATGTTTTTCGGGCTTTCGTCAGTAAGTGCGCGTCAACACGTTCGAAGTCATCAGCCTTTGTGAGCCCAACGCATGCGCGTGCTCTCTTCTCTCTCGTTTTTTCAATCTTTCAAACACCCTCATCTAATGCCCAATGTAGGGTAGCATACCGGTTGATCCGGACTAATTAACATCCCTGCCTTTTCTTTCTGTCCTGTTCATCTTCTTCTTCACACAATATCGACTACACGCCGAAAGTAAAAGAAACTAAAACTGTGTAGCTCAACCAATTGGAATTCAAGCCTTTCAAAAAGCGCATTTTAGCGACAGGAGCCTGAATGCTGTCTCCGTCAGTTAGTCAAGTAACACTGAACATTTGTCAGTCAAGTCAGGCTTGCAGAGAACTTCATTTACTCATATGTAACACGCAAAATCAAAAACTGCTCAAACAATGATTCTGAATTCGGGTGCTGACCTGTTGCCTTTAGGAAGCGCTGAAAATCCTTCTGGCCACTACAAATCCTCGGGTTAGAGTACCACAGAGAAGCGGAAACCATGTGCTGCCCGATTAGGCCATATTATACGAATGCATGCTTGACTTGTTCCACGTAGCTCACTGCGGCTTCCGTTCTCCGCCCGTCACAAGTTGCTCTCTTTATCCTTCTGGTAGTTGGCGCGCCAACCGAGCGAGATAACTTATCGTGGTCCTACTTCTACTATCGCTTAGCGAGAGGTGAGGAGGAGTGGAGGCAAGCGCTGCTAACGCAAGTCAATCACTTATCGCGCTTCGCTTGATTTAAATTTCTCAAAATAAGAATTACAAAAACACAATTAAAAAAAGAAGTTCTCTTCAGGGGTAGCGAATCGTTTTATTGTAAGGACTTGTGACCGCCAATGAATGAGAACATTCACGTCAACCTCACTGTGGTCAACCGAATTGCACAGGATGCCCGGCAACCGCTACGAGCGTGCAAGTTCTCTGAAACCGAAACCAGCGATGAATTTCCTGGGCTTGCTCTAACCATCGTGCAATATACTGACGCGTGTTTAGATGTGGACGATAACGATAATGGGGCATTTAGTGGGCACGAGGTAGTGGATCTCTAGCTTCTCTCGAGGCCAAAGAAGACGATCCTGTGTCTCAAGTGTTGAGGACACGCTGCTTTCGTCGTCTCAAGGTGTATCTGTGTTTTATTCGCGCTGTACCACGACACTGGTGGAGGTGCTGGGTACGCGACCCTGTCTGATGCTCCACACGCCCGCTGGGAGCCGCTCATTGAGCCCAGACGCATTGTCACCTGTAGAAACGCCGGTGCATCGCTCCAGTCGACGGTTGCGAGGCCTCGTGACAGAGATGACTCACTCGCCGAAACTTGCTAGGCACCGCACACCTCA